ATGGAATGCAATACTATGAAAAACCCTGCAATTAAAGGTTTACCTTGCAGGAAATTAAAACATCTCTGAAGAACGCAAATAAGAGTGACACATTTCACCCTTCCAAATTCCAAGAACTTCAGAAAGTACTAAATGTTTATTGCTATTTAAAATCTTTAAACCTTTGAAACAACTACAGATAAAGTTCACTGCACTACTTCAATACCACTCAAAGTCTTTTAAACTAGTCATATTGTTGTTGCTGAGCAATCAAACATGGTGGAGGAAGGAATGATTCAGTCTCAACAAGGCATATTTTCTACAGCACTGATTCACTCTCCTGCTCCTGGAGGTCTCTGACGCCCAGCACATCCGTCATTTCCTCAGCTTTACTCCTTCCCACTTCCACCTACACTTCTTCACTCTCACACTCTCCTTTCTTTCGCCACCCTCAAGAGGCATGAGTAAGAGAGATACAGACATTTCATCAGACGGTCAGGGGAGGAAAGGTGAACTCGAGCAGCCCACTCTGAGGGCTAAGAGCTGACATGTCTCTCCTTATTCTCTTGCCACCATCACAGAGTACGTGATGAGAAGAAAACAGCAAGAACATGTTGGTAAAAAAGGATTTATTAAGAGGAAGAGCTTTCACCCTGCAGTAACACAGAAATTAAAAGTACCACGCAGATCTCAACACATTTTTCTTGCATTTTTTTTAAACAAGCATACTCGAGAGGCAAGACTTCAGAGAGCGTGTATAATGAAGTGACATGTTGTGTGAAAATGTTCTCGCAAACCTCTCTAAACAAACATTAGCCTAAAAGAACTGCACAATTAACTGAAATCAACTAAAAATCACGCTATGCCTTAGTGTGATTATCAAAGTAAATGTAAATATGCAGAATGCGTTTCAAAGTGAAGCACAGCACTGTGTTCCTTTATACGGCAAGCAGCTTTCCTTTATATAAGCAGCTCAACATCTGGTGTTTTCAGTGTCTAATAGTGGCTGGGTTTGCAGCAAACAGTGCACCACATAAATTCCATCTCTGCATGTACAGCCATATATATTAGCATTGTAATTTTTTAGTTGTACTGTAAAATACTATAATAATAACAATAATAATATAATTATTATTATTATTTTATAGTAATATTGATATACAGTATAAATCAAATTGTGCAGCTCCACAATCAAGCACTTTTTTTAAAGTACTTTATTTGTAAAACTTTTTTCTTTTTCAAAAACATAACACTCCATAACATACTATATATGTATATGAATACAATATAACCAAAATAGTTACCCCATGCCACACTTCTCCCCTGCCCCCAACCCAAACATGCACCAAATATTTATGAAAGTACTCTTATCACACATCACCATCAGAAGAACCTCAGCCGGACCAAGGAGATGAAAAATTGGAAAAGAAAAAGCAAAAAACAGAGGAAAAACAAGATCGAATGACACATAGCACATTCCACTTCCACCTACACTTCTTCACTCTCACACTCTCCTTTCTTTCGCCACCCTCAAGAGGCATGAGTAAGAGAGATACAGACATTTCATCAGACGGTCAGGGGAGGAAAGGTGAACTCGAGCAGCCCACTCTGAGGGCTAAGAGCTGACATGTCTCTCCTTATTCTCTTGCCACCATCACCGAGTACGTGATGAGAAGAAAACAGCAAGAACATGTTGGTAAAAAAGGATTTATTAAGAGGAAGAGCTTTCACCCTGCAGTAACACAGAAATTAAAAGTCCCACGCAGATCTCAACACATTTTTCTTGCATTTTTTTTAAACAAGCATACTCGAGAGGCAAGACTTCAGAGAGCGTGTATAATGAAGTGACATGTTGTGTGAAAATGTTCTCGCAAACCTCTCTAAACAAACATTAGCCTAAAAGAACTGCACAATTAACTGAAATCAACTAAAAATCATGCTATGCCTTAGTGTGATTATCAAAGTAAATGTAAATATGCAGAATGCGTTTCAAAGTGAAGCACAGCACTGTGTTCCTTTATACGGCAAGCAGCTTTCCTTTATATAAGCAGCTCAACATCTGGTGTTTTCAGTGTCTAATAGTGGCTGGGTTTGCAGCAAACAGTGCACCACATAAATTCCATCTCTGCATGTACAGCCATATATATTAGCATTGTAATTTTTTAGTTGTACTGTAAAATACTATAATAATAACAATAATAATATAATAATTATTATTATTTTATAGTAATATTGATATACAGTATAAATCAAATTGTGCAGCTCCACAATCAAGCACTTTTTTTAAAGTACTTTATTTGTAAAACTTTTTTCTTTTTCAAAAACATAACACTCCATAACATACTATATATGTATATGAATACAATATAACCAAAATAGTTACCCCATGCCACACTTCTCCCCTGCCCCCAACCCAAACATGCACCAAATATTTATGAAAGTACTCTTATCACACATCACCATCAGAAGAACCTCAGCCGGACCAAGGAGATGAAAAATTGGAAAAGAAAAAGCAAAAAACAGAGGAAAAACAAGATCGAATGACACATAGCACATTAACAACATAGCAAGGACATCCTTAAAATATAGACCTGAAATATGACCAGATTTTGTCAAACATCTTTAATCTACCCGCTCTAGAGAAACGTATCCTTTCAAGCTTGAGGGCCGAAACCATTTCAGCTAACCATTTAAAAAAACTTGGAGGTGACATAGATTTCCACAAACAAACAAGCACTTAAAAAAAAAAAATCCCATTTCACTTTGTTGTTGTTTTTTATCAGAAAGAAAAAATTGCAATTCGATTTATTGCCCCACATCCTGCAAACCTGGCTTGATGTGATTTACACAATAAGTACATGTTTCTGAATCAACATTCCTTTCTGGAACATCATCCTGCATCATCTGCAAATCATTGTCCACTGAATTCAGGGGTAGGGTGGTTGATTCAGGAACACGTCATACTTGGGTAAACCACATGGGGCACAACATGAGCTTTGCTATACCTTGTTTACATATCGAAAAAATAAGATATAATCATCGTGCCACATGAGCTCATGTTTAGGTAGGAGGACTGAGCCCTTCGAAGACTGAAACTTTAGAATCGCCTGTGGCACACAAACACTGTTAGCAAACAGTGGTTTGCACAGAATGTAATCTGATATTGCAAATGATGAATACAGTACACACAAAAATACACAGTTTGCTGAATCTTCTCCTACCTTGAATTCCTGAAGCTGCTGTTTGATGACCTCCACTTCTGTCCCCACGACAGCCTGTGTGTTCAGCACCTCCTCTGCTCGTCCCAACAACCCTTGTAGGTCAGCTAGACGGCCGTAGAACTCCTTCACACGCTCTTCTGCTGCTTCTATGAGTGCCAGACGGTTCTGGCCCCGCTCTGCCAGCTTGCCTGCCTGTCTGCTCAGGGCTTCGGTCTCTCTCCTGAGGGCCAGAAGATCAGGTGAGCTCCCCTCTCTACGGAGCATAGTCGTGCATTCTCCACCATGACTCTCCAGCTCGGCACGGAGGGCATCGAGTCGACTCAGGAAGCCCCTGACAGCATCAGCCTGTGAGGCCAAGGAGTCAGCATCCCGCCCCACAGGGCTAAGGCTGTCCAACTCATCGTCCAAATCAGCCAGGCGGGAGAAAACATCTCGAACATGTGACTGGACTTCTCCCACACCTTGCAACCGGGACTCCAAGGATAAGCAGCATTGCTCTGTCTGTGGGGGAAAGAGAAGGGACAATTGCAGGCAAATAGAGATGAATTTGTGGGTCATTCCTACTATGCAGTAGACCAATCATATGTTTCTAAATATACTGGATAAGCATATTAATATACGCAGTAATAATATTACATAATATGCCTGAATTTTTCATTCGCAAAAAAATATTTTTTTGGTTAAAAAAAAAATAGTCATTTTTGCCACATCCCTGAGTGCTTTTAACATAAAGCACTGCCAAATTTACTAAGAAATACTCAATCATTCCTGAGATGTTTTAAACATACATTCTTATTATTTTATAGTAATATTGATATACAGTATAAATCAAATTGTGCAGCTCCACAATCAAGCACTTTTTTTAAAGTACTTTATTTGTAAAACTTTTTTCTTTTTCAAAAACATAACACTCCATAACATACTATATATGTATATGAATACAATATAACCAAAATAGTTACCCCATGCCACACTTCTCCCCTGCCCCCAACCCAAACATGCACCAAATATTTATGAAAGTACTCTTATCACACATCACCATCAGAAGAACCTCAGCCGGACCAAGGAGATGAAAAATTGGAAAAGAAAAAGCAAAAAACAGAGGAAAAACAAGATCGAATGACACATAGCACATTAACAACATAGCAAGGACATCCTTAAAATATAGACCTGAAATATGACCAGATTTTGTCAAACATCTTTAATCTGCCCGCTCTAGAGAAACGTATCCTTTCAAGCTTGAGGGCCGAAACCACTTCAGCTAACCATTTAAAAAAACTTGGAGGTGACATAGATTTCCACAAACAAACAAGCACTTAAAAAAAAAAATCCCATATCACTTTGTTGTTTTTTTTTTATCAGAAAGAAAAAATTGCAATTCGATTTATTTCCCCACATCCTGCAAACCTGGCTTGATGTGATTTACACAATAAGTACATGTTTCTGAATCAACATTCCTTTCTGGAACATCATCCTGCATCATCTGCAAATCATTGTCCACTGAATTCAGGGGTAGGGTGGTTGATTCAGGAACACGTCATACTTGGGTAAACCACATGGGGCACAACATGAGCTTTGCTATACCTTGTTTACATATCGAAAAAATAAGATATAATCATCGTGCCACATGAGCTCATGTTTAGGTAGGAGGACTGAGCCCTTCGAAGACTGAAACTTTAGAATCGCCTGTGGCACACAAACACTGTTAGCAAACAGTGGTTTGCACAGAATGTAATCTGATATTGCAAATGATGAATACAGTACACACAAAAATACACAGTTTGCTGAATCTTCTCCTACCTTGAATTCCTGAAGCTGCTGTTTGATGACCTCCACTTCTGTCCCCACGACAGCCTGTGTGTTCAGCACCTCCTCTGCTCGTCCCAACAACCCTTGTAGGTCAGCTAGACGGCCGTAGAACTCCTTCACACGCTCTTCTGCTGCTTCTATGAGTGCCAGACGGTTCTGGCCCCGCTCTGCCAGCTTGCCTGCCTGTCTGCTCAGGGCTTCGGTCTCTCTCCTGAGGGCCAGAAGATCAGGTGAGCTCCCCTCTCTACGGAGCATAGTCGTGCATTCTCCACCATGACTCTCCAGCTCGGCACGGAGGGCATCGAGTCGACTCAGGAAGCCCCTGACAGCATCAGCCTGTGAGGCCAAGGAGTCAGCATCCCGCCCCACAGGGCTAAGGCTGTCCAACTCATCGTCCAAATCAGCCAGGCGGGAGAAAACATCTCGAACATGTGACTGGACTTCTCCCACACCTTGCAACCGGGACTCCAAGGATAAGCAGCATTGCTCTGTCTGTGGGGGAAAGAGAAGGGACAATTGCAGGCAAATAGAGATGAATTTGTGGGTCATTCCTACTATGCAGTAGACCAATCATATGTTTCTAAATATACTGGATAAGCATATTAATATACGCAGTAATAATATTACATAATATGCCTGAATTTTTCATTCGCAAAAAAATATTTTTTTGGTTAAAAAAAAAATAGTCATTTTTGCCACATCCCTGAGTGCTTTTAACATAAAGCACTGCCAAATTTACTAAGAAATACTCAATCATTCCTGAGATGTTTTAAACATACATTCTTGGGAAGACAGTTTAAAATTAAAATATAGGGCTTTCCTGTTTCTCAAATTTAATTTTCCATCCTATCAGTATGTAATGTCCCCTTAACTAACAAAACACAGTTCCTCAATTACAACATTCTCCAGGAAGTGACATAGTTTTTGTGAAAAAAAACAGCAGAAAGTTTTAGTAATGGATTTGATCAATTCTGTGTTTTTTTTGTGTTATTTGGTTTCTCAATCTAAAAAATACTAATCCTGTTTTATAAAATTGCAGAAATCGATATGAAAACAAGTTTCAAAAGATGAATAAATAAGTGATATTAAAATTAACTTCCAGTTGGTGTGGCTAACTTGCAATCCCTCACTAAGCAATAGCTAACTTTAGCTCTTTATTTTTATCCTTAGAGGCTTATTCTAATAATTTCTTGCTGTTATGTAAATACTTTTAAATAACATTACAATAAAAATGTGCTACACTTACAACATAAGTATATTTATTTTTTAAAAATGAAATGTTCAAAATGTACTGCACAGACATGCAGTATTGCACAATTGTATTTGTATTGTATTTTAATCTTAAATACTTAAACTTTTGGCGGCAAATCTTGAATACAAGCTATTATGAAAATAAACAAGACCAATTTAGATCAACAGCCAGAAAAAGACGGCATCTTATTTTCAGCAAACATGACATGAGCGCAGACTTAAACTACAGATCAGGTTATATATAACATCCCAACTACCGCTTCAGTCCTGGCACATTCCAGAGGCTCCTGATCATGTGAAGATTCCTCTCTCCTTCTCAGTAACTTCTTCAAACTCTTTTTCCGCATCCCGAGCTTGCTGCAACAGCCTCTGGCCACCATCTTCGCCGGCCCTGGAGATCTCGGGCGCATCCTGGAGTAGCCCCAGAGCCAGATTTTGCAGGTATACTACCTGTGGCTGTATAGAGTTTAACAGTTCTTGTTGGTTACGAAGACGCTCCAGGCTTTTGTTGCTACAAGCTTGTGGCCCAAGCGCCTCCTGAACCTCGATCTGATGTCTGGCTGCCTCGAGTCTTCTCTCCACAGCCAGTCTCCCATCTACTTTATTTGTAAAACTTTTTTCTTTTTCAAAAACATAACACTCCATAACATACTATATATGTATATTAATACAATATAACCAAAATAGTTACCCCATGCCACACTTCTCCCCTGCCCCCAACCCAAACATGCACCAAATATTTATGAAAGTACTCTTATCACACATCACCATCAGAAGAACCTCAGCCGGACCAAGGAGATGAAAAATTGGAAAAGAAAAAGCAAAAAACAGAGGAAAAACAAGATCGAATGACACATAGCACATTAACAACATAGCAAGGACATCCTTAAAATATAGACCTGAAATATGACCAGATTTTGTCAAACATCTTTAATCTACCCGCTCTAGAGAAACGTATCCTTTCAAGCTTGAGGGCCGAAACCATTTCAGCTAACCATTTAAAAAAACTTGGAGGTGACATAGATTTCCACAAACAAACAAGCACTTAAAAAAAAAAAATCCCATTTCACTTTGTTGTTGTTTTTTATCAGAAAGAAAAAATTGCAATTCGATTTATTGCCCCACATCCTGCAAACCTGGCTTGATGTGATTTACACAATAAGTACATGTTTCTGAATCAACATTCCTTTCTGGAACATCATCCTGCATCATCTGCAAATCATTGTCCACTGAATTCAGGGGTAGGGTGGTTGATTCAGGAACACGTCATACTTGGGTAAACCACATGGGGCACAACATGAGCTTTGCTATACCTTGTTTACATATCGAAAAAATAAGATATAATCATCGTGCCACATGAGCTCATGTTTAGGTAGGAGGACTGAGCCCTTCGAAGACTGAAACTTTAGAATCGCCTGTGGCACACAAACACTGTTAGCAAACAGTGGTTTGCACAGAATGTAATCTGATATTGCAAATGATGAATACAGTACACACAAAAATACACAGTTTGCTGAATCTTCTCCTACCTTGAATTCCTGAAGCTGCTGTTTGATGACCTCCACTTCTGTCCCCACGACAGCCTGTGTGTTCAGCACCTCCTCTGCTCGTCCCAACAACCCTTGTAGGTCAGCTAGACGGCCGTAGAACTCCTTCACACGCTCTTCTGCTGCTTCTATGAGTGCCAGACGGTTCTGGCCCCGCTCTGCCAGCTTGCCTGCCTGTCTGCTCAGGGCTTCGGTCTCTCTCCTGAGGGCCAGAAGATCAGGTGAGCTCCCCTCTCTACGGAGCATAGTCGTGCATTCTCCACCATGACTCTCCAGCTCGGCACGGAGGGCATCGAGTCGACTCAGGAAGCCCCTGACAGCATCAGCCTGTGAGGCCAAGGAGTCAGCATCCCGCCCCACAGGGCTAAGGCTGTCCAACTCATCGTCCAAATCAGCCAGGCGGGAGAAAACATCTCGAACATGTGATTGGACCTCTCCCACACCTTGCAAACGGGACTCCAAGGATGAGCAGCATTGCTCAGTCTGTGGGGGAAAGAGAAGGACACATGCAGGTAAATGAAGCTGAAATTGTGGGTCATTCCTATGCAGCAGACCAATCGTATGTTTCTAAATATACTGGATAAACATATGAATATAATAAGTAATAATATTTCATAATATGACTATATTAATATATTTAAAAATGAATAGATTTTAATAATTTCACTGTTTTGGTTTAAGCACATATTGTCATTTTGGTCGCATCCCTGAGTGCGTTTAACATAAAGCCCTGTCAGTTTACTAAGAAATGCTCAACCATTCCTTAGATGTTTCAAACATATGTTCTTGGGAAGAAAGTTTAAAATAGTTATTTCCATTTCTGAAATTTCACTTTCCATCCTGTCAGACTGTAATGACCCCTTAACTAACTAAATGCAGTTCCTCAATTACAACATCCTTCAGGAAGTGACATTATTTTCATGAAAAACTGTACTGACAAAGTTTTAGTAATGGATTTGATACATTTTCTGGTGTTTTTGGTGTTATTTGGTTTCTCAGTTTAAAAATTAATAATCCTGTTTTATAACATTGCAGAAATCGATAGGAAAACAAGTAAGTTTTAAAAGATGAATAAGTGATATCAAAATTAATTTCTAGTTGATGTGGCTGACTTGCAATCCCTCAATAAGCGACAGATAACTTTATTATTAAGTTATTTCTATACTTAGAGGTTTTTTCCGAATAATTTTTTTGCTGTTATGTAAATAGTTTTGTAAAAAGTTAGGTGTCTGAGTTTGACCACAGCATATTTCTGAAAGTCTGCTAAACACATTTATAGAAATACTGTACACTTACAACATAAGTATATTAAACGTTCAAAATGCACTGCATAGAAATGCAGTACTGTGCAAACTTTATATTTTAATCTTAAATACTTAAAACTTTTGACTAGAAATCATGAATACAAGCTATTTAAAATGAACAAGACAAATCTAGACCAACAGCCAGAAAAAGACTGTGTCTTATTTCAGCAAACACGACATGAGCGCAGACATAAACTACAAATCAGGTTATATATAACATCCCAACTACAGCCTCAGTCCTGACACATTCCAGAGGCTCCTGATCATGTGCAGATTCTCTCACCTTCTCAGTAACTTCTTCAAACTCTTTTTCCGTATCACAAGCTTGCTGCAGCAGCCTCTGGCCGCCATCTTCGCCTGCCCTGGAGATCTCGGGCGCATCCTGGAGCAGCCCCTGAGCCAGATTTCGTAGGTACACCACCTGTGGCTGTACAGAGTTTAACAGTTCCTGTTGGCTGCGCAGACGCTCCAGGCTTTTGTTGCTACAAGCTTGCGGCCCAAGTGCCTCCTGAACCTCGATCTGATGCTTGGCTGCCTCAAGTCTTCTCTCCACAGCCAGTCTCCCATCTTCAAACTCCTTCAGTCTGCTTCCCAACTCTTCTAGCTGAGCCGTGCGGCCCTGTAGTCGCTCAGAGAGACCGTCTATCCTGCGATTAAGCTGGGCTTTTTCATCCCTCACTTCCTCTTCACCAGCACAGCTCTGTTCCAGCACCTGATCTGCTGCCGTGTTCAGAGAATCTAAGAGAGGGCGACGACGATCCAAGTCCACACTTAACTGTCTAGCCTTTTGCAAAGCCTCGTCTAAGGTGGCGGGATCCAGTGATGGGTGGATCTCCGCCTCCCTTTCCTCACATTCTGCAACCCAAGTTACAAGCTCATTGTGATGTTGTTGGTACAGCTCAGCACGGGACAGCATCTCTTTTATTCGACTGTGTTTATTAGAGGTTTGTCGGTTCATGCCCTCCCAGTCTTGCCGTAAGATGTTTAGTCGAGTCTGTAGGGCTAATCGCTCATCTCCAGCGGGGAGGGATGCCAGTAGAGATGCCCCCTCGGCCTGGATGAGCTCATAGGACCCACGTTGTTGTGCCATGGTTCGCTGGAGATCCTCTTGTTGGGCCAGAAGGGTCTTTAGAGCATCAGGTTGGCAAGGAAGGGCTTCAGAAACCCCAGCTGTGTGATTCCCAGCTTGCCCGTCCAACCAGCCACGAAGCTCGTCAAACATCTGCTGGAACTGTTGAGTGCTGGACAGGGCGGCCTGCAGCTGGGACAAGCCATCAGCTGAAAGACAGCAGTAAAGGTGGTGGTTACTATTATGTACATGCATACAGTAGGCGAACAATATTGGGTAAAAACTGACTTTGCCATATTTTGTTTTTCTGTGATATACACTGCGAAATAAAAAGACACAGGAGTTTTGACGAGTAGAATTAATACATTTTTTGGAGAGTGCATCTGCATAAAAAAATAAGTAAAGTGACAAAAATGGTATTTTACTGTACATTTATGTCTTAATTTCTTAATTTCCAAACTGCAAACTGTTACTCACCAGCCCGTTCTTCTAGGTTTTTGAGGGGGCTGCTCACACTCTCCAGTCTCTTGTGTAACTCATCTCTGAGATACGGTTCGGCCACAATTGTGCTGAGCTCCGCACACAGCTGCTCAGCCTGGGCCAGTTGACCTCGTCTCTGTTCCAGCTCAGCACGGATCTCCCCAGTTTCCTGAAGCCTACAGCGCAGGGCTTCAGGCTGAGCGCTTAGAGAGGCCTGCGCATCCAGCCTCTCGCTTAGATCAGCCACACTCTGAGACAGCTCTCTGAGCAGGGCCAGGTAGCGCTCACTGGTTCCCTGCGCCTGGTCGATCTGCTGCGAGCGGCCGGTGAGACGAGAGGTGAGGTCTTCCCACTGCTGTGAAACGTCTGCCAGCTCCTGCCTCACCTCCTCTAGGTCCTGTCCATCTCTAGAACCCTCATCTCCAGATGGGGAGAGGATTCCCTCTGCCGCTCGAGACAGCTGGTCAAACTGGGTTTGCCGTGTCTCAAACTCACGTAGCATGAACTGACGGGATAAAGAATTTTTTTTAAGTGATTTTGGTGAAGCTAAGTTTTGAGAACAATTTGATTGTTCAATTTGACATTTGATTTTTTTTTAATGAAAATCTGAGGCATGATGTTAATTACCATTTTTTGAATGGACTTTTTTTCATTTGTCGAAAAAGCAAGAAGATTAGTTTACCTGCACTTGCTGTTTCTGTGTGTTGAGCATGTTGGGGTCGATACTCAGTGGGCCTAATACGCTCATCATCAGCTCTTTCTCTCGTAGCCATGGTCCTAGCTGACTGGCTGCTGCAGCAAAACTACCCAGCCTATCAGCACACGCTTCCAATTCAGTCTGCCTCTGTGCTGCAGTCTGATTGGCTTTCGTCCACCGTGAGTCTAGGAGAGAGAGCAATATCCTGAATCTGAATGTATTAATAAATATACTAAAACACAATAGATTAAAAAAATGCATGCACAGGTTGCACTTTGACAACACATGGAACACCAGAATAAAAGATCAGGATATTTGATTTGAAGGTCAGAGCTTTTCTTGGAGCATACATTATTTTCAGCCTTCCATTTCCTGCACCCAACTCTCGCCTTGTGACCAGCAAATTAATATTAATGTACTATTCTGTTGTTATACTTAGTTATTGGTACAGGGACAAGTTAATTAAATGAAAATTAACTTAAAACACATCACTGACCTATGTCTTCAAGCTGACGTTTCCAAGTCTCAGCTTCAGGAGAATCAGGATGATCTGTTATTAGCTGATTGAGAATGTTTTTTAGATCCTCCACTTTCCCAGAATGGTCGGCAAGCTCAGTAAGTAAAACCTGGACACAGGTGCCTGTCTGTCAGATGTCTGTCACAATGTAATGGAATGATGGCTAGGGCTACTGTTTTAAGGGGTCATGAACTCAAGAAATCAAAACTTTTGACATATAAGAGGTCATTGTACTGCACTATAAAAACATCCTGTAAGTTTCAGAACTCCAAACTTTGTTATAAGTCTAAAAACAGCTTATATTGAAGGCAGTCTGCCAAATCGACAGCTTTTGGAATGTTCTACTCTATGATATAATACTGTAGATAAGCACCGCCTTCGCAGAAGATCGACATCACTGCCTGTTTAGCCCCGCCCACCTATTCACGCATGTAGCCTAGTGTTTACGAGAGGCGAACGCGCAGGTCTACGCAGAAACCAAACGATAAAGATGGCTCTGAAGACAACAAGATGCTGTGTTGGAAAAGAAAGAGGAAAGAGTATATGAACTTTATTTTTAATGAAGATCCAGACCACGTCAGTAAGAACTCTGTCTTTTTGTTCACTTCATTTTACCGGGGTTTGTGTCAAAAACAGGACAGAAAATAGCCTATTATTCCCCTAGGGGTACAAAATTATGATGTTTTTTTATGTAAAAATCTTGATAACATTATAAGTGGACCTCAGAGAAAAGTACAAAATAAAAAATAGAGGCAGTTCATAACCCCTTTAATAATCCTTTAGAGCAGTGTTTCCCAACCTTTCTTTAGTCATGGCACCCTTTGGAAATTGTAACAAATTTGTGGCACCCAACAAAATTAATAATGTCACAATATTTAATAATAATCAGTACAGCAGGGAAGAACTGCAGAATATAATGTCATACAGATATTTTTTATATTATAAAAAAAATGTGTCTATCAATGGTGGCAATCAGTAGGCTAATTCATATGAAAACATTGTGAGATAGCTAGTTATAATGGTAATCAAACAAAGGTTTGCTCACTCAGTGTATTTTTGACTTTACAGTTGGGTAATTTTTTTGCAGTAGCACGAGATAGCTTGATTTAAAACTTTGAATTGAATACAAAATGACAAGGAGGCTAAGCAGTTAATAATAAAATAAGAACAAATAAAGAAATTACTAATGATAGCACAAATAAAAAATAACGATAGGCCTACAGATGAAATAAATAGCTTTTTAGTTTTTCAGATAGGTCTAACACACAGTAGGGCTATTAAGAGTTTTTTTTAATTTTTTTTTACCAATTATCCAAATAATATTTAATCATAGAAAGCTATTATTATCAGAGGACACGTGAGCATAACGGTTAGCAGATCAATGAATAAGAGGGCAGCGTTACCAGAGTTGCCCATTTACCACACCTTATTACAACCCAGTAGGGCTATTGCAAACAGAAACAATACTGTACTACATCGATGTTTTCTGTCAGCTTGATTTTTGAGTGGACTTTGCTGTTCTGATGAGCATGAACGGTATATGAGTGGAGCACTCACATGGGCCGTGAGTGAATGAGGAGTGACTGAGCGAAGCACACACACGCATAGAGCGGGATAATACGCAGAGCGTCACACCATGTGAAAGGGAATCCTGAGCGGTGAACTAATTTTCGGCAGCCGGAATTTCAGTGCATCTCTAATTATTGGCGACATCAGAAATGGATATTATATAATAGCTGCTTTTTTGAAGATTTTAGCAATTTAAAAATATTAAAAACAGATTTTTTACACGGCACCCCTGCTCTCGACAGACGGCACCCTGGTTAGGAAACACTGCTTTAGAGAACTATGGGATAACATTAAAGACAAAACTAAGTTACAGAAAATGAATTGCCTGATTACAGATAAACTATTTCATATATATTCTGTGGGGGCCTGTAGTTTGATACCCCTGTTACGGATGTATTCAATTCTCTCAAAATGTTACCTTGGTTTCTTGGGCTTGAGCACGCACCGCCTCTGGCCGAGAAGGTGAAGCGGTCTGCCCTTGTGCCAGGCTCTCTTCACGGGGGCCCAGCCACTGGATGAGTGCCTCAGAGCCCTGCCTGGCCTTCTGCCGCAGGTCAAGAGAGGCCTCTTGCCTACCCTTCCTTTCCCTCATATCACTGCCCAGCTGCTCATGCTTGCAGTTCACATCTGCCACTGCCACCTGGATCTCAGTCAAGTCTGAGGGTAAGAGTGAAGAAATGTTGAGGTAAGTACAGTCACAGCAGCCCGATGACAAGGCCACATAATTATAAAACTGCATCATGTTTGTGCTATTTTTCAAGCAATGATATATAAGCTGAGGGTTAGATTTTGACTGTAGTAAAATCCATTCAGCTGTGAAGAACAAAATATGGAGCTCTGCACATGATATGCGGAACATAATATATTTATTGCGGCCACAAATTAAGAATATGCTCCATGACTTGTCTTTTATTTAAATCAAGGACATGTTTGATTAATTAGTTCCTTTGTTTTAGGTAAATCATTGCCACATTGTACTAATTTGTTTCCTTGTTTTGATTTATTTAATTTAGTTAATAAAAATAAGAAAACAAATTAGTACAATGTGGCCACAATTTTCCTAAAAAGAGGGAACAAATTAGTAAGCGGTTGGAACAAATTCTTAAATTCATTGCCACAACATATATATATATATATATATATATATTACTCTTATTATATTACATTACTACTATTGCAGTTTTGTTGATGCAGTACAATGGGAACCAATACATTGGATATCGACAACAATGACCTGACAAACTGATTACTTGCAAAATGTGAACAGTGTGTCAACAGTCCTCAGCTTTATGTGCACTGTCAGTGTGAAAGAAAGCCTAAACGATTGGACACATTGGTCATATGCACAAAGACAGATGACACTAATCTGCACTTACTCTGAGAGCAAACTAACAGAACAGGACAAGAAGCAATGCAAAGAAAAATAGGGAGAGTGAGTAAAAGGGTGAAGAGGAAGAGAAATGGAAATGTCTAATAGAGAAAAGCCTCCAGTGATGAGGATGCTGCACAGCTCACTGGCTAAACGTGTGGAGGAAGCTCACCTTTACAGGTGTGAATGCCATTAACACTGTTGGGGCTGGAAGCACCATTGAGCTGAGAAACACCTGGGAGAAAGACACACAGACACGCGCTCAGACAACGCCACAATAATTCACAGGCATGCTGGCGCAGCACACACATACACAAGCAGCTACACATACTCAACACAGAGGATTTAGACACAGAGACACATATACAAACATAATATGCTGAAAATTAGTAGTTTGGAAGGTGGCAGATGCCTAAAGGGACAGTTCACTCAAAAACTCTCCCTCATGTCATTCCAAACCAGTATGAATTTGGAAGTACAAAAGGAGACAATTTTAATAATGTACCAGTTGCTCTTTTCAATGCAGTAACAAAATTAATTGGAAAAGGGTGCAAAAGCACCATAAAACTGTTTTAATCAGGAACACAAATCAAGCTTTTTTGCTCATGCGTCATATATATTCTAGTAGGGCACTCTTAGTAGGGAAAGTCTTACTAGTTTTGAATGACATGAAGATGAGTAAATGATGACAGTTTTCATTTTTGAGTGAATTATCCTCTAAAAGTAGTGATTTGGAGTCCAAATATATTCATAGTGGAAACATGAAGTACTAGCTACAGAAAAAAAGGAGCCCTGGCCCTGAACCTCCACGATGTTGTTTTGCCTACCAGTCTTGTTCTTGGGAGACGTGATGTTAATAATCAAGTTCTCCAGTTGTGAACTGGTCTTGTTCAACTCCTGAACTTGGCTTCCTTGGGTCTCCCATTCTGCGAGTAGATCCTACAAGTAAATTCATGAGACGTGTTAATTACAGCTCACCTCACTAAAAACAGAAACTGATGTCAGAACACTGTAAATGGAACTGTAGGAACTGCAGTCCTACTTTAAGCTGCTGTGCTCTTCTCTGCAGGCTTTCTGTGCTTAGGTTGGGCTCTTTGGCAGGAAGTTGTTCTTGTACTGTCTGCAGCCACCTGAGGAGCGAGCCAGAGCGAGAGCGGAACTCTGCCAGTTGCTGGACGCAGCTCTGGATGGAATCAAATCTGTGAAGGACACAGGAAAAAGTCAGATGAAAATCAACAAAAAAAGATTCAATTTTGTTAATGGTAACACAATGCTGGCTCCAATGAGGCAATTTACTTTGTGTAAAATAAAACAGCTTTTGCACTCAGTTTTCAAATGAATTATTCCTTTCTTAGTTTAAAATGTTTTAATGAAGTAAAAATTCAGAGTACCTATCTAAACCACCAGAAGAGAAAAATTTTACTCTTGTAAAAGGACACAACCAGACATCTTTGACCTCCTATTCATATGTCAACACTGTATGCTACTATTTTAGGTCATGGTGATAGATCAGGACAATGTGTGCAATACTAAGCAGAGCCAGATTCCACTCCAGACTCTTAATGTGGACAGCATGCCTCTCTACCATTGTTAGCAGCAGTTAGGTCAGAAGCCATGTCCCAACATGTTACCCTTTACATTCAGTTTATACTACAATAATCCCCCTTCCCACTCACAAGTATTCCAAGAGATATGTGGAGTGGATTTAGACTTGAACACATGACCGACTGTTTTATGAGCCGTCTCTGAGGACATCTGAAATGCTTGGAGCCCCAGTCTGGCATCTTAAGGAGGGATGTGGCCAAAAGGTTTCCATAACGCCGGATACAGTGGTGTCAAATTGGGTTAGCATGATGCTATTTTTTTTATGGCGCAGAGTATTCTGACCCTGTCCATACTGTCTTTATTTTTGTCACATGTCAAATGTCAAAGCAATTAGAGTTGGCAGGGCATCACATTTCAAGATGAAACTATGACACACAGAATAGCTTAGAACAGACTAACTATTCTACTCATGACTGTAACTGCCATAGACATTAAGGGGGACAATATTACAATATCCTGAATATTTCATTACAGCAATAATTATTTTTCCAGTCTGGAGAAAGAAGTTAAATGTGGACGACAGGGTTATTATTGCTAGCTAAAACTATTTCAAACATTTTGTCAACTGAATAATAAAGTTCAAATAAAATTATTAAACTAAATAAAAATTAGATGTTGCTTTGGCAACTAATTGAAATTAAGTTAAAATATGTTAAAGAATTACATTCACTAAACGGAAAAAATACAAATAAAACCTTTCACTAATTATTATTATTTAAAATGACAAAAGCACATAACACTACTAAAAATAACTAAAAATGTAAATGCTGAAAATATAAAAATAAAAGCTAATTCAAAATATTAATAAAAATAATAATCATACAAAAACCAATACTAAAATAACACTGGTTTAATAAATTGTTTTCACAACTCTTTCCACTGACCTCTCGTTGACATTGGATTCCAAGCGTGCAAAGTCCTCAGAAACCTCTTTGGTTGTGTCCCGAAGGCTTTGTGCATTGGCAAGGATCCCAGACTTGCTTAGGTCTGAACCAAGCTCGACAAATGACTTTAATTGACTTGACTCTTGGGTAATTTCTGATCTCACCTCCTTTAATGGAAAAGACAGAAATTATGACATCGGACATCAGCCAATAAACATGTAATCTTTCTGAAAGTACGTAAATCTGTGGCCAAAGATGTCAAAAACCTAATTCTCTAACCTCTATGGTCTGTTTGTAGTCATCCACGCTGCAGTCAGGTTGGCCTACTGGGCTGAGAGCCCTTTCTCGACTCTGCGTATAGCTGTGGAGGTCTGCACTCTGGCGCTCAAAGCTCTCCAACTTGGGCAAAAGTCCCCGCAACTCAGTCTCTCTTTCAGTCTGTTTGGCCTGGGCCGCTGTGTAGCGTTGACTCAAGTCCTGTAGTGCCCCCTGCAGGCCAGACGCTGTCGATGCATCTGCAGACTTCAGAAGCTTGGACACAGAGTCCAGGGTTGCATCCACGCTGCCCTGCCTTGAAAGCAGTTCCTGACGTATTTTCTGAGGGGGAAGTGCCATGTTTGAAGAAAACATAATTCCTGGTTAAGGAAAGTTTTTAATTATGTCTGATACTGATGATTGTGATGGTACGTTTAACAAAATACCTGATTTTGTGTTAGGGCATCCTGAACTGCTTGAGCAGTGGGCTGGACTGCGCCAGGTGATAAAGGAAGTCCATCTAACCATGCCAGCAGTGCTTTAAGTCCCTCCTGAACGCTGACTGATTGGGCAACAGCGGTTTGAAGCTGTTCAGCTCTCACTGACACTGAATTAGACAGGGTTTCAAAGCGCTTCTCCAGAGCATCTGAAATTACCAAGAGGAAGTTTAAAATATAGGTATAATATCAAAAATATCATTAGCACAAAATTAATTCCAGATCATGTCTTGTATTACTTTTAAGAGGTTATTTTGAGATAATGATTATAAGTGACACTATCAATCCAAATAAAATGCTTGACATCACAGTGCCTTGATTGACCAGTCAACAAATATTCTAGATACAGATGATGAAAAATGCCAGTCGTTGAGCCAATGTTGCCATGTTGGGTTGAATGCTCAAAAAGACAAACTGTTGTTCAAAATGCTGGGGACAAATATTTCTATTTCAAATAAATTATGCTCTTTTAAACTTTCTATTCATCAAGAACTCCTAAAGAAAAAAAAATGTATCACGGTTTCTAAAAAAAAAATATTAAGCAGCACAGCTGTTTTCAACACTAATAACAATAAAATTGTTTGTTGAGCCCAAAATCAGCATATTACAATGATTTCTGAAGGATCATGTGACACTGAAAACTAGAGTAATGGCTGCTGAAAATTCAACTTTTCCATCTCAAAAATAAAACATTTGAAAACATATTAAAATAGAAAAGTTATTCTGAACTGTACTAATATTATTTAACTATTTTGTGATCAAATAAATGCAGCCTTGGTGAGCATAAGAGACTTCTTCCAAAAACATCTAAAAAAGTTTTCAATGACAGTGCATGTCCATACTTGCATGGTGGAATGAACCTACAAAATGACACCCTTTCAACCAAGTTATCTGCTGATATTGAGAATGAAATTACCTGTAAGATTGTTAATATCTGCATTTTTGAGAGTTGGGGACTCCTGAGTGCTGACCAGCTCTTTACCTGCCCTCTTGACTTTCTCAAGCTGTACCGAACGCTCTGCCAACTCATCCTGCAACAGCTGAGAGAAGACAGCAGAAGAAAGAAAAAGGTGATTAATTACGATGATTCCTAAGAGTATGGAAACTACATTTTGCTTAGGTGATCATTTCCATTAGTGTATCCATCCAGTAAAGTTGTTTCTAAGCTTTCCTCAAATATTTTAGCCAGAAAAGCATTAATAATCCAACCTGTACAGTACTGAGAGTATGCTGCAATGTCTGAGTGTCCGTTTGCTCTCGGCTGGGTTTAAATACACTCTGATTTTGCTCCTGAGTGCTCAGCCAGGAGCCTAAAGAACCAGCCTCATCTAGGTAGTGTTGGAATCGCTCCAGGAGACCTGAGAGACGGGTGCCAAGTTCTGAGGACTGAAAGAATGAACACACAAGAGTCAGTATGTCTTCAGCCCATTGTTGACTGAAAGAATACAAAGCTGTTTTGTTCCCACCTTGCTGTGTAATGAACTGTAGCGCTGTGTGGCATCTTGGAGCTTGCCACTCACTAGGTGTCTGGTTTCCTCCAGAGCTGGATCCGTACTGCCCACCTTCTCCAAGGCCCCCTGGACAGAATCCAGAACCTTCTGACCAGAGATTGTCACAAAGCGTAGATCAGCTTTGTGACAGATGACATCTTCTGCAAGCTGTATAATACAGAGAAACACATTCTAAGTATTTTACTTTCTCCACAAAGTAAATGTATTATGTTAGACATCACCATATTTTGATACCTTTTTATGCTCCTCTATCCTGTCTTTTAGACCCTTTGCATCAGTTTCCCCTTCCCCGAGTGTACGTAGTTCTTGTTCACTCTGATCCAACCATGTACCCAGGTTCCCATGCTCCTGCACAAACTTGGCAAACTCATCTCTGAGGGCATCTGTCCGCCTGAGCCTGTCCTGACAGTTCTGAAGGCGCTCCTGATGCTGACTCTGTAGTTGGTCTAGTTTTGCCCGTAAGCGTTGTTTCTCCTCTGGTGGCACACTGGAGTCAGGTTGTTCCAGGAGAGAGCGGACAGACTGGGCCACCTGCTGAAGGTGAGCCTGTTGAGCTTGTAACTGTTGCAGCTCAGTCTGGTGGAATCAACAAAATGCAAAATGTCAAAAGGCAGCACTGAATTGAGTTGCCATATTGGTAAAACTGATAATGATCAACATCTACTTAAGAATCTGACCTGAAGCACGTCACTGTGAGAATTCAGAGCATTCTCTGGTGGTCCAAATGATGGTGTGTCAGTGACAGTGTTGCCAAGTGACCTCCTCTTTGAGTCATCCAGTGATGACAATTCTCTGAGAAGTGTGTCTATTTTTTCCTGTGTCTCCTGCATCTGCTCTTCTGCTTTAGCCTTGGGCAGAAGGAAAATACGATAATGATTAAAACAATGAATAACAAATGCTGACAAATTAAAGAGAACAAAATGTGAACTGCTTACTTTTTGTGTGTTCTGCTGCACTGTTGTGACAATGGCAGTGTCTACTTTAGCTAGTGAAGAGCGGACTGAGTTTGTAAGTGAGCTGTGCTGCTCTTTCATTTGTGAAAGAGTCCCCTGTAGTTTGACCCTCTCTTCAGGACTCAAACTATCACCCCGATCGGACAGGAACTCCTCCACTGAGCGTATAGTCTCAGTCAACAAGTCACTTTTGGTCTGAAGGTCCTTCTCCACCTCCTATAGTTATGGGGTAAAAACAAACAATTAACCAAACATTAAAAGTCTTATGTAAGACATTGTATAATAAAGCTGCATTAAGTAAATGTCAGATGTGTCTCTTTATCGCACCTTAAGCTCTCTTTGCTTCTGCTGTAACTCGTTCACATCATCGGACTCAGTTCCAACTCTCTGACTGGCCAGGAGGCTGGCAGCACCAGCCAACCACATAGTGAGATTCTCCAGTTTTTGAGAGCATTCTGACTTCTGCTGCTGCACAACCTACACCCACGGTAAGAAAGGAGGTAAAAACAGTGATAAAGATTTACATGTGATCAATTATAACCATAATTCTCTTAAACTTCTATGTATTCATCATATTATTCTTTTTACCCCACCAAACTCTCACACTTTGGCCAGAATTTGGCCACAAACGCCAGATTTCACACAAAGTAAACAACGTACACTGGTTGAGCATGATGTGTCCAAATTCATCACACAAAGAACCAAAAAAAAAAAAAAAAAAAAAAAAAAAAAACAGGCCAGTGAAGCAGAAACATAACATACAACGACCTTAGGACAAATAACAGAACTCATCTAGATATTTTCTTCTTTTACTAAAAAGAAAGGTTAAAAAACAAGCAAGCTATAAAGTGAGGCTACATTTAAATCTTTAGTGCTTTCCAAATGTGTCTTCTGTGGCAATCTGTAAGAGCAAGGCAGACAGGTTAATATACATGTTATGTTCATTAACGCAGCTAGCACACTCAAGTTTGAAATGCAGGTGGCTGTATAACAGAGCACAACAATAAGGAATTCTATTGATTTAAGGTAATGTTATCTAGCTGGATAACATACATGAGTGTTTGTCAAAACTGTGACTTGTGACAGTGTTGAAAGCATCAGTTGAGAATTATATACATTCCAAAATATAACATAAAACATATGTACTTTCTGTACAGCATAGCAGCACATTTTCAATACATTATAGCTGTAAAATTGTATTAATTATATTATAAATTATATTTATAAATAAACATTATATAAAAATGTATAAAAAAAATTATGTTTTAGGCATTAGACTTTAGTGTAAGACAACTAAAATCTAAACTAAGGCTTGACTTGGCCAGCAGACAGAAGTCGTTATTGTTGAGTCCTGCAGAAGCATTACTGAAACAACAGATCAGCATTATTATAGTGCTGTAAAACTAACCGAATAAGTAGATCATACTGTTACATGCATGTGAACATTATTTTCATTTTTTAAATGCAGCATTCATGCTAATAAGTATTCATGCATGCATCAGTAGTGTGGTTAACTGTTACCACAAATGTTCTGTTCTTAATGCATTAAAAGTTTTCCTTTATCTCAGTTGAATGATTGTGAGTCTGTTGAAAGCAAAATTTAATATTCTTGTTTTTAATTTGGCAGCACAAGCATTTATTCATCTGTTTGCAAACCTCTCTATCCCTTGTAGTTTGTTTCTCTTTTTCTTTCTGTTCTTTTCTCATTTGTTCATTCTCTCTCGCCTGCTGGGCTGATAGTGCCTCTGCCCTGGCATGATTGAGACCAACAGCCTGGTGAAAGACCCTCTGTAGCTGCTCCAGCTGTCCAAGGAGATGCCTGCTCTGATCAGGCAACAGGTCCTGAGCATGCTCAGAGATAAACACTTGAATACTGAACACCACATTGCTGACTTCATTGGATCGGGCAGCGAGGGAGTTCTGCAACATCTGTAAGGGGAAAAAAAAGAATGACTGTGAAAAAGATGCCATCACTGTAACTACAAATGTAAATATGTGTCCTGTAAAAGCTAGATAGGATATCATCACTATTGATGTCTTACCTCACACAACTGTTGCTTACGAGTGATCTCGGCCACCGTTTGTCCATCTACCTCGGTTTCTTCCTGCATTTGCGTCTCAGTATCCTTAAGCCAGCTAAGAAGTTTGTCAACTTGCTCTTGTAAAGATTTCAGCTGACTGCTTACAGCTTCCTATAAAAACATATAAGTCACACAAAGAGATTTAAAAGAAACTTTTCTGTCATGAAAAACAAACTCTCTAAACTAAATATCATAGGAATTTTTATTACGTTTTGTGCATCACGTTGTTCTCGTAACCCCTGCAAAGTATTCTGGGCAAGGTCCCTGGCTGCACTGTAAGCCCGAGCTAAGCTTCGCTCATCTTTTTCCAGGGCTATAAGCAGCTGAGGTGGAACATCCTGAGGGTAAGACTCCAGCAGCTGTGTGGCTGCTTCAGTCTCCTTGTGCACTTCTGGTTCCAGGTCACTAATTTCCAAAAAAAGCATCTGAAAAGAGAATTAAATGAAAAAAAAACAGCATGTGTAAGCTTAAAGAACCTGTTACATTTGCTACAAATCATACATTTGCTGTAATACAAATATTTTACCTCTATCTGTTTGATTATGTCATCAAGTGTGGAGAGACTTCGACCAACGGACTGTTGCTGCTGCTGCTTTAGGCGGACCTCAATGTGTCTCACCATAGAAAGCAAGGCCACAATCTGTTGGTCATGTTCTAAGCACTCTTGGCGAGCCAGTGAGGACTGAAAAGAAAAGGAAAAGATTAAAAAGAATCGATCTGCAGTAAACAATATACAAAAACCTCAAGAAAGCTCTTCAGAACTACTGTTTACCTTGCTAGCTCTTGTAGCGTCTTTGCTTATTTGTTCAATATTCATTTGAATTTCTCCAGACTGCCTTTCCATTAAAGCCACTGCATATTCTTCCACTTCTTCTTTCTGTTTGGTATCAGACTCTGAGATCACCTCCATAAGGGGTAGACCAGAAACTTTAAATTTTTGGATAGAAGGTTCATCTGTGGCTTCATAATCACTGAAAGGGGGCTCCTCGATTCTTTCTTGATGAACTTCACTGCTTGCCTCTTTCACTGCTGTTTTTGCATTATGTAAAGGAGTACACACTTCACTTGATAGAAGTGCTTTGGAGTCCTTCATTACTGGGATGTCGAAGACACATTTGAGGGGTATAGATTTAGCAATTTCATGGCTGTCAGTCACTGCAGTGCTTGATGGCAAGGTCACTTCAATCATAGGGTCTATCAACTTTTCATCTGTATATAACGGCTCAATGCTTTGTTCTTCTGCTGTTCTTTCTTTGGTTTCCCCTTCTAAATTCTGGATTAGAACCAGTTCTTTTTGGTTTATGTCCACAATGTCATCAGATGTTTTCATAGATGGAATATTCTGATTCATGTCATCTCCACTTAATCCCGTGTTTGTATGCTTGTCATGCTGATCTTCTTCTGGTTTTTGAAGCTGTGTTTTAGCTGAGGAACATGGATCAATATCAGACCCAGGTAGAGGATTCTCTGCTATGTTTGGAACTGATCTTTCAACCCTTTCATTAATTTTTTGCCCCGTCTGGTGTAGTTTGTCATCTTTCTTACTTTGAGGAGGCTTAGTGCTTGTCTTCTCTACAATAGTTTCCTCTTGGGTGGTAATGCGGTATTCTTCATTACTAGCTACTTGACGCATCGCTTCTAATTCTTCAGCAGCTTGTTTTTCACTCACTCCTCGCTCAAACACCTTCCTAAGAATGCTTTCCTTAGCTTTCATCAAAAGTATTTCCTTCTGTGCCATTGCCTGATTGGCTTTCTCAAGTTGCTTCATACTTTCTTTCTCATCTGATTGATTGCTTTGAGGTTGGACCTCATGGATCACCGTCTTTTGCTCTTTCTCAGTCTCATCATCTCTTTTCTCTACACCTTCTGTTTCAACAATACACACTTGCTTAACTTTTTTACTTTTGCTTTTCTTCTTTCTCTTCTTTTCTGATGCCTCAGTGCCAAGGTCCTTAGAGACCACAACAGCTTCCTGACTCTGGTCTGTTTTTGCCATGCAAGTCGTGACACTGCTCTGTTTCTTCTCTTTTTGTTTTTCATCGGTTTCATGATCAGACTCACATTTGGGGGTCTTAGTTTCATTAGCAGGTCTATCCACCCCTATTTCCAAATCTTTGCCTTGTGCAGTCTCATCACTCCCTGTCAAAGGTGCAGTGCTACCAGTTCCATGGGTTGTCTCTGATTGCTGTACTTCAACCACCTTTTCTTTGTTTTCTTTCATAATACGCTTTTGATTAGTGGTAAAGCCATCTTGTCCATCAACCTCTGCTTTTTCTTTGGGTGAAATTCCGGCTGAGTTTTCTGAAACTTGTAGCTTTACATCACTTTCCATTTTAGCTTGCTTGCCATTTTTTCCTCTGCCTTTCTTCTTTCCTGATACCTTAACTGGCCTTGTGGTTGTAGAAGCATAAGGATCCAATCCAGTCTCTTGGCTGTCCTTGATTTTCTCTGGTTTGGACACTGACTGATCTGCTTCTAACTTGAAACTATGCCCCTCTATTTGCTCTATAGATGGGGGTTGTTCCTTGTTTTGAAAGCCATCATCGGCATCTGAGAAACTGACTTCAGAGATTGCCGGTTCACTTACTGTCTGCCTTTGGATCTCTGTCCCTCCTATTGTTTGCTCGGTAGATGGGACTTGTTCTTTGCGGTTATCACTGCTTTCTGATAAAATGGAAGTAGTAACTGCAGATACACTGACTGTCTGACTCTGGATTTCCATCTCTGTGATGTGGTCAAGTAAAGCTGTTGAGTTCTTAACTTTCACCTTTTGCCATTTGAAATCAGACATCTCTTCAGGTTGCTCAGGGCTTTGGATTGGCTGTGATTTGATATGTTCGCTTTCTGTGGGCTTCATCTCTTTAATGACCTGAAGTCTTTTTTCTGCTTTCAAGGTAAATTCTGTCAGAACCTCCAATGATGTATCATTGCTGTCCTGCATCACGGTATCAACCAATTGTTCCCTACTTTCTAAATCAGGACGGATGTCAAAAGATTCAAGCTCCTCTTTTTTCCAAAGATCTGCATCTTTTATTTCAGTCTCTGTAAGATATGATGATGGCGGTGATGGTATACTCAATAGACCTTTCTCAAGTGACATTTTATTAGGACTGACACATTCAGATATCATCTCAGGAACAAAATAACTAGAAGTTCCTTTCGTTGAGGCGGCTGATATTTTAGAACTTTTCTTCTCATCTTCATCTACGAGGCCCATGCTGTGTTGAAGTTCTGCAGCCATTTCAGTAGAAATAAGCCCATATTCAATCGCCTCAGTAATGCGGGAGACCTTCTGTCCACTGGCTGGATTGAGCAACCCCCCTTTCGAAAGTTGATTTGTAGCAATACATTTAGCCATGTCTTTATCAACTAAGCATTTATTTATAGCCTCCGGAAGAGGCAAATGCTCTCCACTGTAAATGTTAATGATACCCCCTGTATCTGCTTGACTCTGCAATATTCTCACTGCTGGTATGGGATCTATTTGGCCTGCCTTAATTGCCTGTGGTAAGGTCATCATTTCATCAGTTTGTTTATGCGGAACTCCCCTGAAAGGTCTCACTTCAAGGAATCTCTGTCGTGTCTCAATGTCAATTTTACCCTGGTTTATCAGCTCAGAGTAGGACACAATACAAGCTTTATGAGGATCCAACAATCCACTTTTCACGTTGGATGAGTCCATAGCTTTATTTGCTGTTTCTTCACCTAGGAGGCCTTTAGAAACAGCCTCACTCAGAGTAATCCTGCTTTTTGATGCATCATCATAAATAGAACCTGTAGAGGCCTGAAGAAGTGAAGTGTTTTGATCCAAACTACTTGGTTCTTGGCCTTTGAATGCCTTTTCAAGTTCCATCAACTTTGGAGCAACTGTGTGATCTATGAGACCCAGTTGTAGAGCATCCACAACAGCAAGGCGAACACCACAGCCAGGATGCACAATGCCCCCTTCTGCAACCTGCTGGCATAAAATCGTTTGAGCCTCATCCTGTCCAATTAACCCAGTTTGAAGGGCTTGTTCCAGTGGGACAGCCTTTTTGGTTTTTGGGTCCACCACTCCTTTCATTTGTAACTGTAGCACCAACTTGGTTTGCACTGCATTTTGATCTGAACATTTTCCCCGGCATGACTTTTCCAGTGCAAGAAGCTTTTCCTTTCTACCATCTTCAATCAGCCCAAGGTTGGCTGCAAGGGTAACTGATAACTTCTTGTCTCTTCGTAGGTCAACTATTCCCCCTGACACAACCTGGGCTTCAAGGAGACGAGCAGCCGTATCGGAGTCCAACAGGCCTGCCTCAGCAGCATCCTTTATTGAGCAGTGCCGACCATGTTCCACATCAATCACACCGGCTAAAATCTTTTCTGAATGAAGCACACAGGCCATCAAGTCCTCATCCAACAGGCCTTCTTGCATCACATCCTCAACACTAAGTGACTTACAGGCATTAATATCCAGAAAACCACCAAAGAGACCAGCTTTTTCCATAAGCTTCATAGCAGTGTGCCCTGGAAGCAAACCATGTGCCACAGCTTCATCCAGAATAACTTTTTGGCCACCTACAGTTACAAGACCCCTTTGTTGCAGTTCCAAAGCCATACTCTCAAGCTTCACATCATCATCACTTAGTTCCACTGACAAAGTCTTAATTTCTGAAGGGTATAATTTCTTATCTTTACCAGGTTGTTCAAATATCCTTTTATTTTCCTTGTGTTCAACGATTTTCTTCAGTTCATCTGACTGCTTTGCTGTCTTGGCTTCATCTGGATTGATATTTAGCTGATCATATTGTCCTACATTTACAGTATCTAGATGTGAAGTACGTGCACTGCTTTCACCCATGTCAAACATTTTTTGTTCTGTTATCTTTTTTGTCCCACTATTATCTGCCTGTTCCAGGTCAAGTGTTTGCTTATTTTTAGATTCATTTAGTGTTGAATCTATAATTTGATTTTGAGCGGGTGTTCCGTAATCTGATATAGTCTTTGGTAGGGTTGAGCTTGTTTGAAAAGGCAATGTTAAGTTTAGGCCTTTCCTTGTTGATGGTGCAAGATACTCCTCTGTTCTTTCTATAGTTTCACCCATATCAGTCTTCTTGCTGGCAATTTGACTTATCTTGGGTTCTTCATATTGTCCTGATGACAGAACATTCTTTTGCCGGTACTCTTCTTGTGAAGGTTCCATAAAGGTTCTTTCTGAGACTGTCAAGAGTGGAAGATCTTCCTCTGCTCTTACTTTAGTCTCACCCATTTCAGTTTCCTTCTTGTCAGTTTCATATTTTTTAATCTCAGATTCATCACATTCTCCTGACAAAATTTTATTTTGCCAAACCTCACGTGGAGGCTCCATAAAAGTTCCTTCTTTGCCTGTCAAGGGTGCAAGATCTTCTTCCTCTCTATCTATTTTCTCTCTCACATCAGCATTCTTCCAGGCAATTTGACCTTTTATAATGGTAGATTCATCACATTCTCCTGATGACAGAACTTTCTCTTGACAAACTGCATGTGAAGGCTCCATAAAAGTTCCTTCTGTGCCTGTTAAGGGTGCAAGATCTTCCTCTGCTCTTGCTATCATCTCACCCATACCAGTGTTCTTCCAGGCAATTTTACCTTTCATAATCATAGGTTCTTCATATTCTCCTGATGACAGAACTTTCTCTTGCCAAACAACTTCATGTGTAGGCTCTATAAAGGTTATTTCTGAGCCTGTTAAAGCTGCAACATCTTCCTCTGGTCTTTCTATTGTCTCACCTATGTTAGGCTTCTTGCTCACCATTTCATCTTTTTTAATCTTGGGTTGTCCTGATGAAAGAACTTTCTCTTGTAAATTGTCTTTATTTAATGGCTCCATAAAAGCTCTGCCTGCATCCGTCAAGGGTGCAAGATCTTCCTCTGCTCTTGCTATCATCTCACCCATACCAGTGATCTTGTAGGCAATTTTACCTTTTATAATAATGGGTTCTTCATATTCTCCTGATGACAGAACTTTCTCTTGCCAAACAACTTCACGTGTAGGCTCTATAAAGGTTATTTCTGAGCCTGTTAAAGCTGCAACATCTTCCCCTGGTCTTTCTTTTGTCTCACATACGTTAGTCTCCTTGCTGGAGGTTTCAACTTTTTTAATCTTGGGTTCTTTATATTGTCCTGATGATAAAACTTTGTCTTGTAAGTTCTCTTTATGTAAAGGCACTATAACATCTCTAGCTGTGCCTGTCAAGGGTGCAAGATTTTCCTCTGCTCTTTCAACTGTCTCACCTATATCAGTGTTGGTCCAGGCAATTTTACCTTTTAAAAACTTGGGTTTTTCATGTCTTCCTGGTGAGAGAACTTTCTCCTGCAAGTTCTCTTTATGTGAAGGCACTATAAAGGGTCTCTCTTTACTTGCCAAGTGTGGAACATCTTTTTCTGCCAGTTCGATACTTTCACCCACATTAGTGTTATTGCTCTCAATTTCATCTTTTTTAATCTTGGGTTCTTCACATTCTCTTGATGATAGAACTTTCTCTTGCCAAACCTCTGCATGTGAAGGCTCTATAGAAGTTCGGTCAGTGCCTGTCAAGCATGCAAGTTCTTCCCCCGCTCCTTCTATAGTCCTACCCATGTCAGTATTTCTGCTGTCTGTGTCATCTCTTTTAATCTTGGGTTCTACATAGTCTCTTGATGACAAAACCTTTTCTTGTTGAATCTCTTCATTTGAAAGCTCTGTGATCTTTGTTTCCATCAATGGTGCTAGATCTTCTGTTCTTTCTACTGCCTCTCCTATATCAGTTATCTTGCAGGCAATTTTACCTTTTATCTTGGGTTGTTCATACTCTTCTGATGATAGAACTTTCTCTTGCAAAACTATTTTATGCAAAGGCTCTTTAAAGGTTCTGTTGGTGACCATCAAGGGTGCAAGACCTTCCCCTGCCATTTCTACAGTCTCTTCCATATAAGAGTCCCTGCAGGCAATTTCATGTTGTGAAATTTTGAGTTCGTCATTTTTTTCCTCTTCAATCCCACTCATATCTTTGTTGTCCAGCATAACTCTAACGCTGTCAGAAATTTTGAGTTGGACTGGTCTGGCAAGGTTTGCGGTTTTGACATTTCTACATATTAGTTCTACCAATTCTGGTTCTAGTAAGACTAGGCGTTCTCCTGAATGAGCATTAATGTAGCTGTGTGCCATCACTTGACTGAAAAGGTGGTTTTGAATCTGCTCTTCTGACCTGCCTTCCTCCGTGATGGAAAAGTCATAATTGATATCTGCATGTGAGGCAGGGGGTGATGAAGAATAGGCAGATCCAGAACTCAATTGCTTCATATATGAGGAACTTGACGGAGGCACATGGGGAAGGACATCTGGAACCTGGATGTGTTTTAGGATCTCCACTGCCTGTGGCTTAAGTATCTTCTCAGCTTGATGGAGAGGGACCACCTGTCCACTCTCAGGCAGATATACTGCACCAACAGAATGACGTTTTCTCAAGGCTTTTGCAGCAAACTCTCTATTGACAACACCCTGCTGAAGTGCCTCACTTACAGGAAGCAGCTCGCCTGATTCTGGCCACATTATTGCCATAAAGGACTGGAGAGATTCCAGTACACGCAAGGCTATGCGAGGAGAGAGAAGATCTCGTTTTATGGCCTCATCCAACTCTAGACGCTCCCCACTGACTGGATCTATTATTCCTCCTGTTTGTAGCTGTCGTGTCATGAGGGTGCAGGCCAAGTCCTGATCCATCAGGCCATGCCGGACAGCCTCATTAACAGTCAATCTGTGTCCTGAGCGGGGGTCTGTGATACCCCCAGCAAACAACTGAGCCTCCAGAAGTCGAACTGTGACATGCCGGTCGATAAGCCCCTCTTGAACAGCACAGAATATTCCCACCTTTCTGCCAGAGCATAAGCAGACCGTTCCTCCTGGCTTCTGTTTAACTGGAAATAAGCGCAGACCCTTCTCCTGTTTGAGAACACATCGCTGTTGAAAGTCAACCAGACTTAGTTTTTCTGCTGTATTTGGATCAATAAGTTCTCGCCGGTGAAGACAGGATTGCAGCTTTTGACAAAGATCAGGGGATAACAATCCCTTCTCCCTTGCATGATCCAGGCTGACCATTTCTCCACTGGAACCAGACTTCAGGCTGCCAGTGCTTATCTGCAGCTCAAGTATACGGAGCCCCACCAGCTCCTTTATGATGCCTTCTTTCACAGCAGTGGCTACAGGTAATTCCTGACCCTCTGCAAATTTTACTGTGTTGACAAGACCAAGGGCAGTCTCTAACTCTTCCAGTGATTGGTAGGTATGTTTATCAATAAAACCACTGGAAAGACTCTTATCTAATGACAGTTTATCAGGGGAGTCAGGCTGGAATAGACCACCCATGACGACCTGTGCCTCCAACAGTACATGACAGGTGTCTTGGTCTATGAGGCCACGCTGTGCTGCCTGGAAAACTGGAAAGGTTTCCATGGTGCCAAGGTCAATTACTCCAGCGATGATTTCTTGGCCCTATGGAAAGAAAAAAATCATACATTTAAAAAACGCTTCTTATTTGAATTTGCAGTGTATTTTTATTCACAGTTTAACTGGGAGGGAAAGATAAAAATGCCCACCACCATAGCTGAAGTAACTTAAATCAGCATAAGAAGCAATCATCTCAATACTAACATTCATGCATTTATTCATTCAAAAATTTACAAAAATACCAAGTATCATCTTCTTTAAAAATATTACATTTTGAACATGCAAAAAACATTTGGCAGCACAGCACTGCATTGTGCAAAAAAATATGCAAAAATGCACAAACTGAACATTTAAACTACTAAGAGGCCAAAGAAAAGAGAAAACGGACCTTGAGAACATATTGCTAGGTCAGAAAGAAAGCAACGGTAAGAGAAAGCAAGCACTACTTACCGTGTGAGGTGGTCCTTAGACGCACACACACTGACAGGCCGAGGGTTCGGCGGTTTGAGGCGCGATAGGGTGAGAAGCCGGATGTTAGCGATCTGCATGCCACACTCCAGCTGCCTGATATGCTGCCCGGGACTGACTATCTACATTTTCATACTTCTACTACTAAATTTCAGAGTAGAGTTTTTCTAAATATTTGTTTTTAGACTTACCTATGAATGTGTGAAGATCTTGGTTGGCATATATGCATTTTTTTTATTACTAGTCAACTAAGGATAGTCCTGCATTCCGACTTTTTTCTTACACCCAATTCTGAGATGATGTCTTACATTTTCTCCCTGCAGTTGTTAGTGATTTTGAAGCAAAATGCTAATTAAATTTCACAAAGAATTACAGTATTAAAGACATGGACTGAAAACAGACAATATCACACATACAAACACACAAACAAACAAACATAGCTGTGATCTGGACACATCATGCTCAAAGAGTGAGGTGGAGGTTTGCATAGCTGGCTTTTTGTGCTCAGTCTATACCAATCCCTAGGAAAAATATTTTGACGACTGCTTTCTGATGAATCTACCTTGTTTATATCTTTAGCTTCTAGCCATTCAAACACAAACATATCATTCTTCACACAGTAACCACTACATAATGGCTGATGTATGTATGGGTGCAGTTCTACACAATGTTTGTGACTGCATGTGGAAACAAAACAATATGAATGTAATGACAATTATGCCTTTACATTTACATGTTTATATGTACCTTATTTAAATGAAATGAGCTAAACTACAATGTGCATGTGGCTTCAATGGACACTAAAGTGGCTAAAAGAAGCAGTTTCTGATGCCAAAAAGTCACACTATTCTACTCTAATGAGCTGATGAGTTGCGTTTAAGCAGAAGTGCTCGATTAATAATGACAATAAGGATGATGTTGATGACATGATATCAGGCATGTTGTAGAAAATAGGAATGATTTAGATTTCACACCATGCAATTAATTTTTTATAACTGTTAAATAAGACAATGTCTGTGAGATGTATGAATGTGGTGATGAATGTTAAACCACACGTGACAGGCAACATAAAAACACACAAAAATGATTCACTCGCTCTAGCTCACACATACACACTGCTGTAGCATATCTCTAGCACACTGACAATACTTGACCATAACGAAGACCACTATTCAAAGCAATATAATTCAGAAGCATTTCAAGACAAGCTTTTTGCTGTTGAAGCTCATTTGGCAAAGTTGAACACTGCTGTCACTGTGGACTTTCTCTTGCCCCTCTAACTCTACCTTGCGCTTCTCCTCTTTGGCCAGCTGCTCCTCCAGTTGTTGCAAGTGTGTGGCAGAACTGTCACACAGTTGAGTGTAGGTGGCCGTCAGCTCATCCAGCTGGGAGACCACCTGTGCGCGCTCTTCAGGAGACAGCCTAAAGATAAATGTGCTTCATTAATAACAATGTATGCGTTTGTGTTTGAGTAAGTGCATACATATTTGACATTTATATGGATATAGTGCAGTTGTTCTTAAACTATTGTATACAGAACAACCCAAGCCTGCTGGACCTCTAAACTCAGACTCTTGAATATGTGATTCTGCTCCTCCAGCTCTGAATGCCATTTCTGCAACAGCGTGACATACAGAGTATGAAAAGCAATCAAAAAGTTAACAGTAAAGTCGCCTTTCCACTGTCTCTAACAAACAACAGACTGGAAGTTATTCATTTTCAGAGCTACGTGGAATTTTGATGATATGCATCTGCAGAGTTTTCAGATCTGATTTGAGCTTTGGGTATATTTAAACTGAACTTTTGCAACTGAACGCACCAATCAGTTGTGAGGTATTCCAATTAAAACTATGAGCATGAGGTTGGAATTAGGCCTACCAATAATTTTGAAGTATTCTTTAAACACTATGTTATTCTTTAAAGGAGTCATGATTCATTGATCTTTTGACATATAGGAAGTCATTGTACTATAAAAACATCTTGTAAGTTTCAGAACTCAAAACTTTCTTGTTAGTCTAAAAACAGCATATATTGAAGCCAATCTGCCAAAAAGACAGGTTGTGGAATGTGCCACTTTATGACGTAATAGTGTGGCTAAATCCCGCCTCCGCAGAAGAAGATCAACACCTGCTTCTACATCACTGCCTGTTTAGCCCCGCCCACCGATTCATGCATGTAGTAGGTAAATAATGAGAGAGGGAATGCAGGTCTATGCAGAAACCAAGCGATAAAGATGGCTCCAAAGACAACAAGACACTGTGCAGTGCCAAGTTGTGGAAAAGCAGTCTTTGCATTGCCTTCCATCTGATCCTAACAATCAGAAATGAACTTTGGATGAACTTTATTTGAAGATCAAGACTGCATGAGTAAGAACTTGGTTTTGTTCACTTCATTTTACTACGGATTCGTTTAGAAAAAACAAGGCACAATTCAACGCAGGTTTTTCAGAGATTGAAACTAAGACAATGCTGTGCTGACTATATTGGATCCGACAGTCATGTCGCAGTGAGAGTAACTGTTTTTATTACTTGCTCACTTTTGCTTTGTCTGTTAAACAGAGTATTTATGCATTTTTGACCTAAATCACAGCAGCATCCATGTCAAACATACACAACGGTTAGCCAATCATAGCAGTGGGGGTTTACTTCCGACTCGAGTCTACAATCTGACGCGTGTATTCAAACAGAGCCTTCTGATGAGAGGGGTCAAAAATAGCCTATTACTTCTAAATGATGTTGTTTGATGTACAAATCTTTCTAACATTATAAGGGGACCTCAGAGAACAGTACAAAATAATAAAAAAGGCAGTTCATGACCCCTTTAAACACTATTTCTGTAAAATGGGAGAATGTGATCATGTCCAAAACAATTTTTTGCCCTAGAAAACATACTATGCAGTCATTTGTTTGTGTGGACATATTCATACTTTTATTATTCACTCATTTAAGCTTGGTGAATAAGCAGAAGGTAACTGCTTTTGCACAACCATTTTGAAAGTTCTGTGCAACTGCCACTAGGGGGCAAAATGCAATTTTTGTGAATGTCAGAGATAGTGGAAAAGCAATCCATTTCTTTTGAGGTAGCAAAATCCTGACTTGTTTTTGTGTTTAAGAGAAATGTTTTTGAATAAAACAAATATGTGACCCTGGACCACAAAACCAGTCATAAGGGTCAACAAAAGATGTATATATCATCTGAAAGCTGAATAAATAAGCTTTCCATT